TACAGTCTGTCTTACAGGGTTGTACAGTCAATCTAAAGGACTTGTACAGTCAGTTTTACGGGTTTGTACAATCAGTTTTAAGGACTGTACACTCAGTCTTACAGTGGGGTACAGTCAGTCTTACAATGTTGTACACTTAGTCTTACAGTGGTGTACAGTTGAGTTGTACAATCAGTTTTACGGGGTTGTACAGCCAGTATTACGGGGTTGTACAATCATTCTTAAGGACTGTACAGTCAGTCTTACAGAGTTGTACAGTCAATCTTAAGAAGTTGTACAGTCAGTCTTACAGTGGTGTACAGTCAGTCTTACAGAGTTGTACACTTAGTCTTACAGGGGTGTACAGTCAGTCTTGCAGGGTTGTACACTTAGTCTTACAGTGGTGTACAGTCACTATTACAAGGGGTGTATAGTCAGTCTTAAGGGGTTTACAGTCAGTCTTACATAGATGTACAGTCAGCCTTATATGGATGTACAGTCAGTCTTAAGGAATGTACAGTCAGTCTTACGGAATTGTACAGTCAGTCTTACAGAGTTGTGCAGTCAGCCGTAAGGTATGTACAGTCAGTTTCAAGGGTTGTACAATCAGTTGATGTAAGTTAATTCAACCGTAGAAGGTTACCGACAGTATTACCTGAGCCTACTGTCAGTCGTACATCAGTGATCAATCAGTTTTATGATTACGTTTAAAAAGAAAAAAAGTAAAAGGGAAACATTTTACGTGCGCTTCTGTTAATTCTTTTTCATTTACGAGCGCTTGTTATGTCCTCCTCCTCTTGGAGGTGCGCACGCCTCCCGGAACCGGAAATGCCGCCATCTTGGATGCGCACACGTCACCGGAACCGTTAGTGCCGCCATCTTGGATGTGCACACGTCGCCGTAACCGGAAGTGACGTCATCGTGACTGCCAGAGTTATCTCCCCCCTGGTCCTGTAGACATGCACACAACTACTGTCATCGTATCCCAATTGCGTAGATCGGTACTCTCGATGTCAATAACTAGATTGTCTGGCCCAGACTGGATTATTTACAAACCGCCGTCATATACCTGGTATATTGTTGAGAGCGGCGTTTAACAACAAACAATCAAACAAAAACTATTATTAAACACCTCGAATCTTGAATCTTGAAAGTTGTAGCTTTTCCGCAAATCAGCATCACATGCAGTATACAGTATATCAACTGCAATATACTGTGTACAACATCCAGTATACAGTGTGTCGCGAGCTCCGCATTGGGCTGGATCACACATTTCCTACCCCTCTCCCTTCGGCAAACACCTCATGGGGGGTGTAACGAGGTCACAGGTCAGCCGTGCACTCATCAGTATATCTTCCGGACGATCACTGCACTAGAGGAATGTGGATTGTTGATGAGGTACAACATGTTTGGAACTGGGAGTTGAACACTAAGCACTTACAGAGAAGAGCTCACCATAAAACGTTATGGACTCGCGGACGGACTTGTGTTTTCAATTCAAGACGTACATGTATCAGGTTGAACTTCTATGACAGAGATAACTTGGTTACCGCTCCCTAACTGTAACATTAACTGAACTTTATGCCTTTTATACACATTTGTGATGGGGCGACAATGCGACAAGACATATTTTGACCTTGAAAATGTCGCATTACGGCATTGTCGCCCTTTTGTAAAATATAGAAAAGGATTATTCAAAGAGCGACAATGCCAAATTGTAGCGTTTTAGAATTGTCGTGCTTTGGTTAATTTGACACGTTTTGCTTGTTTTTGTAAGGGTGTCAATGCGAAAATACGACAACGCGACAATGTCCCTTCCAAGATTCAATAGTGATCCATACTGATCTGTGCAAATAAAACTGAGTTATGAAATAGAAGTCTAACACGCCAATTAAAAGATAAAGTGTAAAAATGCGCTATAGAAGCTTCTGATTTCATAGCTCTTCAAGAAGGATTATCAATAATTGGATGGGACAATAAACTTATCCTTGCATGTGTTTGTAACGGGTGCCACCTGTGTGGCAGGATACGCTCACCTTTTCGCGAACACCCGTTGGATGGCCTGAACCACTTCGGATCAGTCTGATACACCGTGAAAAACTGAAAAACTGAAATACTGTTCAAAGTGGTGTTTAATGCGATCACCGTAGTGTGTTACTGCAACTGTCCAAATTTTGTGTAGTGATGTTATGTAATATGTAAAATAAAGCATATTCAATTATTCAATTGATTTGATTAGAATATACTTGCGTCAGTGTATTTTATTAACGCCCCAAACCGTATTTGTTAAACACACATAATTATAGATCATATACACGCATGGTGCCTTGACTTATTATTAGCTTTAATAGGCCATTCCGGAATAAAATTGTTCCCCCAAAAGCGTGGAACAGCTGTTTTAGTTTGTTTACAAGGAATCTATTCCAAAAAATAACCTCATTAGATGAGAAGGTCTGTTAAGAACTACCTCAGTAAGGCAATCACAATGACAGACCTTCGTAATACATTTACAAGACGTCAAAATGGCCGACACGATAAACGTAACGGCAGAGATTTTTCCGAAGTTGTTAATTAACCTGTGGCGATTTCAAGCCTTTGTCATCACTGATCAATTGGCCGATCATTGAAAGGTGATTGTAAAGATGTGTCAAATAGATACTAAGGTAAATTCATAGATTGCTGTAGATTGTCACTATGAAAGTTTGGATTTTTTTCTTCTCTAGGATGGGTTGTAGCGAGGGCATCCTTGAACGGGCATGCAACGAAACTCTATGACTTATCCCAGAGTATGCCAAGACGCTACGTTCAAAATTAAAGGGTCTAAATGATGAGAAACAACGCTTCTTTATGAATTCGTACATGGGAATTCCCAGGGATTTCCCCAGGAATGTGGAAGTAGTCAGTGTTTACGTCATTTCAAGAATACAGTCACGTGAAATACGTCATGTGACCCACCCCTCGTCTTATTGAAAAGCCGTATATCATGTAAACTTCACATTACAAAATTAGTTACTGTTATAACCAAAGGAAACACAACCCATTATCCGATAGAGGTAACTGTGCATAGCGGAGGGATATGTTATCTCAATAAACTTGGTAACATGGTTTGGTTTGACTTCTTGGGATTGTGTCTGAATTCCATTAACGTGTTACATATCCTAAAACTGACTAATTAGCAAATCTCGCTGCACTGCGCGCGACAGATACTAGAGCAAGGCATGCGAGAAATATGAAACCTAATGCTTCCGAAAGGAAGCCTTGGGCATCATGTGCGTCGGGGGACCAGCGCCATCTGATTGGCCGTTAACAGTTGTACAAGGTGGAGCAAAAAGCGTCGTTTTTCCGCCCATTTTACGCTTAAAAAACACGACGCTTTTCCGGACACTTTCTAAACGCTAACCAATTGATCAGCTTTAATTAAATTTTCGTCGTTTTTCCTTCAATTGACCATATACGGAAAAAAACGACGTTTTCGTGTTTGCAGTGATATCCAAGTTCCCTGTTAATGGTATGGGATGATTTTACTTGCAACAAGTTTCATTTTTTTCAACTTCGGTCAGGATATCCAAGTTCTCTGTTAATGATATGGGATGGTTTTACTTGCAACAAGGTTCATGTTATTCCACTTCGGTTGGGATATCCATGTTCTCTGTTAATGATAGGGGATGGTTTTACTTGCAACAAGGTTCATGTTATTCCACTTCGGTCGGGATATCCAAGTTCTCTGTTAATGATATGGGACGGTTTTACTTGCAACAAGGTTCATGTTATTCCACTTCGGTCGGGATATCCAAGTTCCCTGTTAATGATATGGGATGGTTTTACTTGCAACAAGGTTCATGTTATTCCACTTCGGTCGGGATATCAAAGTTCTCTGTTAATGATATGGGATGGTTTTACTTGCAACAAGGTTCATGTTATTCCACTTCGGTCGGGATATCCAAGTTCCCTGTTAATGATATGGGATGGTTTTACTTGCAACAAGGTTCATGTTATTCCACTTCGGTCGGGATATCCAAGTTCCCTGTTAATGATGTGGGATGGTTTTACTTGCAACAAGGGTCATGTTATTCCACTTCGGTCGGGATATCCAAGTTCTCTGTTAATGATATGGGATGGTTTTACTTGCAACAAGGTTCATGTTATTCCACTTCGGTCGGGATATCCAAGTTCCCTGTTAATGATGTGGGATGGTTTTACTTGCAACAAGGTTCATGTTATTCCACTTCGGTCGGGATATCCAAGTACCCTGTTGATGATGTGGGATGGTTTTACTTGCAACAAGGTTCATGTTATTCCACTTCAGTTGGGATATCCAAGTACCCTGTTAATGATGTGGGCTGGTTTTACTTGCAACAAGGTTCATGTTGATTGAACATAATAACTCCAAGAAGGACCACTATGCGTGAAATTCTGTAAGCACACCAAAACATCATTGGTAGGTGTAGCATATTGTAATCTTAAAACGTTTCCAGAGGGCACAAGCAAGTCACTGCTACAATCAACACATATCTTTATTCCATTACTGTACAAATCAAACTAATCTGCCTTCTCCTTCAATCTATTCTCACCGTGTAATTCTCACCAAGGAACGCCATGTGCGTCTTTGTACGCCATATTCGTTCTACACCCCTTTAGAGTTATCCCCCTTATACCGTCGGTACCAGTATGATAACACAAGTTACCTCCCCTCATACTACAATATAGTCCCCGAAATAAAGGTTTCACATCCTGTCAGATTATATGGGGAGGACGTTTATCGGCATTATAAAAAAACCCACCGGCATGGGTATGATGCTGAAGACCCTACAAACATAATCAGGGCGAATGTGGGATTCCAATCCACGGTAATAGATTTCTCGAACGACTAAAGGGACGCAACCCTGCACTGCACTGAGTCAGCCGTGCCCCTCTTGAGAGGGAATGGATATGAACGTTTCACGAAATATACAATATGTTAAGGGTATGAATATTTCTATTTATCAGTGTGATAATATCAGTCAATATTTTATCTTTTTCAGGATCCACTTTCCGGTATTAGAAAGTTAGCTAAGTTTCTGAATGCTGAGAAATCAGAGGAATTCTACCTTAAAGTAAAAGAGTTGACGAGTTTCAACAAAATGAAGGAATTGAATGGCAAATTCTTCCAAGAACCTGACGGCACAGCTATTATGTACAGAAAAGGTGGGTACATTTGCCATCACTTATGCATCTAATTGATGTAACGGTATTCATTGCCAAGAAAACCTCCACCAGCTGGTTATCAAGGACAGAGCAGTCAAGATGCAGTCCACAAATGTGCAAATACGCCCTTAGCAACTTGCGCGAGATGCGACATCTGCGACAAGCAACATGATGAGAAGATCTATCAAAGTGCAGGATTTTCGTTTGCCTGTCGGGGGGCCCGGGAGGCCCAGTCGTCTGAGGCGGCGCGATTCGCTGTGCAGAGTTTCGTCCCTTAGGCACGCCAGACACCTATGATTGTCGGGTTACAATGAATCGAATCACACATCGTGAGTAATGGATCAACATTGGATTCGGCTCTTACAACAAGCATAAGGGGCACGGTGGCCCAGTCTTCTAAGGCGCCACGATTCGCTTTGCATAGTTGCGTTCCTTGGACACGGGATTCGAACCCACAATCATAGGTTTCGCCCTGATTATGATTCTAGGTTTGTCAGCACCATACCCGTGCTCCTGGGTTTCTCCGTAGTGGTAAACGTCTGAGACCTGCATCACTTCGGGCTGACACGCCGTGATATAACTGGAATACTGTTAAAAGTGGCGTTAAACCAAACTCACTCACTTGTTTACCTGTCCTCTTGTGAAGCAGAAGGAAACAGGGTTGCTTGGAAACGAGTGAGTCCAGGTCGGCAGCAACCAGGGCGATTTATGTCTCCCAAAGCACTATTGCAAGACTTTGCAAACGTTACCAAAAAAGGTCAATGCATGACTTTCCAAGATCTGGTGTTGACTATGCATGCTGACCACCTAGCTTCGTTATCTATGGTAAAGGACCACCAATCTCTACATCACCCACAATACGAGTTTGCGTACGATATCAGGAACTGCCTACATGAGACAGGTATTTGAGCCAGACGGTCTGTTCAAGGTGTCATTTTGACGTATCAACATCGTCGACTGCGACTTCATTGGTGTCATGTCCACAGAGTATAGACTCACCTGCGATGGAGAATTGTAGTCTAGCGACGAGTCACCTTGTTCACTTCGTCACACAGATGCAAGATGTCCGTTGTACCTATGTCCGCTAGGTATTCCAGCACGATAATATCAGACCACAAACATCACTATGGCATACATGACAACATTCAAGTCCTGCCCTGGACCTCTGGAACACCAGATTTGAACATCGTGGAATATTTATGGGATGAGTTGGACAGACGGGTGCGACAGCGTCATCCACAGTCTCTGTCACAGCGGGTACTACAGGCCGAGTGGGCCATCATTCCTCAAGGTCCGAATAGTACCCTCATTGCTATCATGGTCATGAGATTTTTTTACTTCCAGGGTGGGCACACACGATACTTTCTGCAGATGGCCTTGGTCGTTGATATTTGACATGTCATGTCTACATCGGCGACTTGTGTCAACTGTAGTAGCATGCATCATATGTTAACATTCAGCTGCTTTCCGTTGATCCATTACATGAATCCATACATGTATATTTGCGTTTGTTTTAAGAACGTTTGTCGCGCTGGTTATTGTTGACAGACTCTATGGCATTTAGACATTGCTAGAACATGAAGACACGTAACTGTCCATGTAAACTTTAGATTAATCAGCAAAATGTCCAAACAAATATTTATTCAGTGAGATTCTGTTACCTTTTTCGTGTTTCAGGTGAAGTTGGCGACTGGAAAAATTATTTCACCGTGGCCCAGAACGAGCTATTTGACAGAACATACAAGGAAAACATGGCTGATTGTCACATGAACTTTAGATACACGCTGCAGTGAGAATCGAAGACGAAGATGTCAGATGGGTAATATATATATATATATATATATATATGTATGTTACAGGAAACAAGTATAATCAGTGATTAAGTCTAATGACTGAAAATTTCAGTGATTATGTCTAATAACTGATTCACTCGGTGGTTATGTCTAATTACTGAAATCTTCAGTAATTAGACATAATCACTGAAATGAACCAAGGGTTTTTATACTTGTTTACTGAAAGCATATCCCTGCCTTGTTTTTATAATGTGTGCTAGTTTTGAAATTAGATTAGCTATCAAAGTAAATACAACCTCCTGTAACCAGATACCTTACACAAAAATCACAGAAATAAGCTTAAACAGTTCAATCTTTTATTTCATAAAATGGTATGACGTGAATGGTATGACATGAATGGTATGACAAATAGCAGTCAGATGGACACTCAGGAATGTTTGTTTGCACATGAAAGACTTGAATAACATCTAGAATTACATTGCATCTTGGCCTTAAAACATTTGCAGCGATTGGTCTGACACCGTTTAGTTCCAACACAGTTACACCTTACAAAGCCTTGACCACCTCAGACTGAGTCAAGTTGAACTGCTTGATGCAAAGAGAGTGTTCGATCGGTATTGAAATCGTCAGCATTATACAGGGTTGAAGATGCAAGGCCAGTCCGAGCATCAGATCCGAAGAGAGCTGCAAATGGTGAGGTTTTGATACCACTGTGGAGACTTGAATTCTTCTGAAACTGGACGAACTTAAGTCCTACAGTCCAATCACTGGTGTCATTGTCTCCAAGCCAAGCAACTAGAATGTCTTTAATGTCACAGTTCGCCCTCTCTACAGAACCTTGGCTTTGGGGATGTCGAGGCTTTCCATGCACGATCACCAATGAGGGCCACATAAGTTTCAATTCAGTTACAACCTGTGCTGTAAATTCAGATCCATTGTCACCTTGGAGCACACAAGGAGCGCCAGGTAGGAGAAATATGTCCAAAAGTTGATAGGCGACTTCAGAAGCACGTTTAGACACAACAAACGCAACACAACAAACTTGGTAAGATGATCTTGGTAAACCATGATCCACTTATACTGGCCTTGACTCATTGACTGCATGTCGATGAGGTCCACTTGAGCCCTTGAATTAAAGTCCTTGGAAAGAATGGGCTTGACAACGGTCCCCTTGTTGGTTGCCATGACCAGTTGCCAGTTGGTGAGCGCGCTTGATAGTGTGAGATTGGCTTAGGACAGGATTATGAAGCCTTCTCACAAGGTATTATAAAAAGGCAGGGATATGCTTTCAGTAAACAAGTATAAAATCCCTTGGTTCATTTCAGTGATTATGTCTAATTACTGAAGATTTCAGTAATTAGACATAACCACCGAGTGAATCAGTTATTAGACATAATCACTGAAATTTCCAGTTATTAGACTTAATCACTGATTATACTTGTTTCCTGTAACATATACACGTGTGTCCTTTTAATTTTGAGTCAAGTAATGATATCGTGAATAACTCACGGATACCAAATTTATTATAAGACATCTTTGCTCATAATTCGGGTGACGCAAATGATAACTTTCTTAACATTTTCTAAACATATTGCTAATTATTTATATTTATGCTTCTGTGTTAATCTTTTGTCTTTTTAATGTGGGCCCTTATCTTCCTCATCCTGTATCAAATGTATGTAGGGGCGGTCGGGTAGCCTAGAGGGTAAAGCGTTCGCTCGTCACGCCGAAGACCCGGGTTCGATTCCCGACATGGGTACAATGTGTGAAGCCAATTTCTGGTGTCCCCCGCCGTGATATTGCTGGGATATTGCTAAAAGCTGCGAAAACCATATTCACTCACTCAAATGTATGTATTTCAAACAGAATACATATTCGGTGTTTTAATAATTTTACCAACAAGAAGAGTCAAAATAGAAACAGACGGCTTGTAAATTATGATGATCATCATTATCTTAATCCTTGGTACATTAACTCCATGCTGCGAGGTACGAATGACGCTGAACGCGCCAGTCAGTTTAAGCTATTTTAAGCATTTGACCGTTCAGTCAATACAGTTAGCGTTATAAGAACGGTGACATGCAATAACTAAGATTATTACATGATTAAGTGATTAAGCCAGATGTTGAACCTCTGAAGCAGCTGTTTCAACGAGTCCACGACACATCTTAGTTAGCATCAACACCATCTGGAATAATTTCATATAAATAGGAGTAAAATCATGTCCATGTGCATTCTTCACACAGCTTCTCAAGATGAACACTGCTTACGTTACCCTCTTCAGCCTCTTTCTCGTAGGGTTGGTTTCGCTTTGCTATGGTAAGTACAATTTTGTTTGTTCGATGTACTTACAGTCGCTTGTGCACTCAAGTTGGTTGATGGGCACTCAGCAATATTCCAGCTATATGACGGGGGTCTGTAAATAATCGAGTCTAGACCAGACAACCCAGTGATTGACATCATGAGCATCGATCCACGCAATTGGGATCAGTGGCATGCATCAACCAAGTCAGCGAGTCTGACCACCCGAATCCCGTTAGTCGCCTCTTACGACAAGCATAGTCGCCTTTTACGGCAAACATGGGTTGCTGAAGACCTATTCTACCTCGGATCTTCACGGGCTTTGTGCGCTCGGGTACCGAGTTTGCCAAGAAACGTTTTTGTATGTATTTGAAGGGTGAAAACAAAAGTGGGTTCGTTGAGTTCGTATATTAGTTTGTATGCTCTACATTTGTAAATATTCTTGGAAGTTGATCTTATCTGTTATATAAATACAAATATGTATTTTTTAAATACATAACGCCAACCACAGAAAATAACGAGTGTCGGTTATTTGCCTAACCATATTCCACTGGGTGTAAAAATTAAAATTGGGGTAAAAAATATGTGAATGGATCCCTCAAAATCCGTTCTGACACCATGTATTTGCGAGAAGGCTAAACATGTCCTGCCCTACCAGTAGAAAACGCCACTCACACAATTTGCATAAAAGTGCCACACAGTAGGCACGGGTGGGGCAGTCGTCAAAGGCGCCGCGATTCGCTGTGCAGAGTTGCACCTATGATTGTGGGTTCGAATCCCGGTTCGCCCCGATTATGTTCCTAGGTTTGTCAGCACCATACCCGTGCTCGTGGGTTTCACCGAAGTGGTAAACGTCTGAGTCCTGCATCACTTCGGGCTTTCCTCCCACATTAAGCTGACACGCCGTGATATAACTGGAATACGGTTAAAAGCGGCGTTAAACCCAACTCACTCACTGGTAATTTTGAATTCCGTCTGCTGCGTGCAGTTACAGAGATTCTGAACATCACTGATCCTGTCACACATACAATGAACAGAGTCTAGTGTACAGTGTATATTGTGGTAAACATTGGCCATGCAAGTTTAGTTTCTTTACATAACTGTGTTGTAGTCGTCGGGTATTGGATTCAGATTGACCAAAAGTACGGAAGCCAAGTACGGTGACAATTTCGAGAGGTGTCAATGAATGGTTGTAACAGTTTTTGTTTGTTGTTTAACGCCGCACTCAGCAATATTCAAGCTATATGACGGCGGGCTCTACATAATCGAGTCTGGACCAGACAATCCAGTGATTGATATCATGAGCATCGATCCACGCAATTGGGATACGATGATTTCGTAAGGCGAATCTTACGATAAGCATGGGTTGCTGAAGACCTATTCAAACTCGGATGCTCCAATGGGTAGAGTGTCTGTCCGGAGGGCGGAAGGCCGGTGGTTCAATGCCAGGCCGCGTCTTACCAACATGTTGTAATTCTCCATAACGCTCGTCTTTAAGGGCCTTAAACAAGGACTGGTCGGCTCGGAGTCAATATACTGTGTCTGAGTGGGGTATTCATGTTCAACAGGAGCATGGTGTCTCGGTGGGCTTATATAAGAGCAATAATCTTGACGCGACGTTAAACAATGCACCTTGCATCAAGTATCACCTGAATGTCATTTACAAACGTTCCCCCTTAATAATACATCAGAAATTTAGAAATGAATGGGTAGGCGTCTCCATGATGTTTTTTTGTGACTTAATGCTTGTCTTTCTCTCTTCACCCCAGGTCAAGGAGCTCCATGTGACCAGTTCACGTGTGCGGAGTTTGCTACCTGTACTAACGGAGAATGTATCTGCTCAACGGGCTATGTCGGCTCCGGCCGATTTCTGTGTGTGCCAGGTACGTACAGTCAAGTCCCGTTAATCCGACATCGTTGGTTGCATATGATTATGTCGGATTAACGAGAATGTCGGATAAACGAAATTAAGTAGTATCAACGTTCGTGATCGAAAATCGGTCAACTACACGATAGGTAACGATACAAACAAGTAACAAAAAATGAAATATTCATATTGTTTTATTACATTGTTAGCGGAATATGTTTTCTAATCATGCAACCTTTAAAGCTCACTCCATGTGTCATCAGACATATAGTTAGAGAATAACCAACGAGCTACAGGGATATTACGGATCACCTGTTCCGAATGATTGAATTGTGAAATCCTGAGTGACTTACAGCTTTCACTCTCGGGGGACAGCTAATCGTTAATTCCATGTTTCGAATATGTTATTCTGTATGTTACTCGCTGACATTTTAAGACGGAAAGTGAAGAAAAACTTATGAAATGTCAACCCTACAGAGAAACTTAACTGAAGGCAGCTTTTGGCTCAGATGACTGATCTAATCAATTTGAGACGTCATGAACTAAAGAGAACGTCATATTGTATTCTCAACTATGAAGGACTGTGACGTCATTTGGCTCCATATGACCAATCAGCTCTGAGAATCGCTAAAAAGTAAATATCGAAAAGTTATTACACAATCGAACATTCTGGCCTTATTGGGAATATTTAAGTATTGACTTTGACTTTGTGTGAGTTCATGGGGATAGGTGCGGTGGGGTAGCCTAGTGGTCAAAACGTTCGCTCGTCATGCCGAAGACCCGGGTTCGATGCCCCACATGGGTACAATGTGTTAAGCCCATTTGCTCTTATTCCCCGCCGTGATATTGCTGGAATATTGCCAAAAGCGGCGCTTAACCATACTCACTCACTCACTCACTCACTGGAGTATGATCCCTCTTGGAGTGCGGGCCAAACTGTATGAACGTCGAAGCTTGCGTCGCAGCAAGCATATACGTGTACGAGCATGCATTAAAACTCTCTTGTCATTCCCAATGTATGCTAAAACGCTCAAATTGTCAATATTAAAGGCCTTAGTAAAATACTTAAAAAGGTCGACATAAGAAGGGCATTTCCGAAAATTGACGCATCAGTAACAAAAATGATTCCCTATTTAGACTTCATATGAACATTTGACCTGCCCTTGCATGTGTTTGTGACGGGTGCCATAGGAACAGGATAAGCTCACCCTTGTCTATAGTGATTCATAAGCGCATGCATATGACTTACCCGGATATATCTTATACCGTGTATATCTAACCTTGATGGTTCATGCGGATAGTGGATAAGTTGTTCTCTCTATTCCAGTAAGCAAAGATATACTTAGGACACTTAGATCTGAAACTCAGTTTCAGATTGGTTATAGATCATTCACCCATATTCCTGTTGTATACAAAAGAACTCTCTGCCAGAATACCTGAAAAGGGCCCAACGTCTATCCATAGTAGAATCATGCCGGAAGAGTATACCACAGTGTATGATTTTCCAACTTCATCATCATCATCATCATCATCATCATCATCATTATAATTATTGGTGTTCTTGTTTTCATCAGTCGGGCAGTGCGGCTGCGTCAGTTTCGGTGATCCCCACACCCGACAGTTCGACCTAGGGAACACTCGAACGGTCCTGCCCTGTCAGTTCAACCTGGCTGGGTTCACCACCGCCTCCGGATGTGACATAAGGGTAGAGACTGTCACCAAGCTCAGAAACAACCCTCAGTTCCCCTTCAGGATCTTCAACAGAGAGCTGCTGGTCACTGCCTCCAGGGACAACACTGTCGTGACCTTCACCCTGGGACCAGGGGGCCAGTCCACGGTCAGTTTACATCTCTAGGCTTAAGTTTTTGGGAGCTGCGTCTTAAGTCCAGCAGGACGTGGTATAACGTCATGACCCTCTTTAGGCTTTAGTTTTGGAGAGCTGCGTCTTTAAGTCATCAATTCCGCTGGACGTAATATAACGTCTGGATAACACGAGAAAATTCCATGATAACTATCACCCCTTTTCAATAATGCTAAAAAACCCATGAAGTAATGGGAATGAAATTTATGGGTACACTTCGGGGCGGTCGGGTAGCCTAGTGGTTAAAGCGTTCGCCCGGGTTCGATTCCCGACATGGGTCCAATGTGTGAAGCCCATTTCTGGCGTCCCCCGCCGTGATATTGCTGGACTATTGCTAAAAGCGGCTCAAAACCTCACTCACTCACTCAATCACTCACTCACTGTAGGTAAACTTCAGTGAGTGAGATTTAAACCAAGAACACTGCCCTCCTCACTTGCAGATTTTGCAGAAACTTTACCTTCCTAACTATGTACAGCATAGATTGATTTTGGACGATTGGGTTTTAAAACAGAAAGTTTTAATGTAAACCTAAATCTCGCTGCTTCCCGAAGACAAACGTAACTAATACGCCAGTATTCACAAACAAACCACAAGCAAGTCACTCTGATACTCATACCAATATAAATGCCTTTTTGGGGAAATGTTATGCTGCGAAGGAACACATTAACTGACGGGAAAAAGAAAGTATACACCCATGTTTGATAGTTGCTAAAAATGAAACAAAGAAGAAATGGTTATAAGGGTACTTGATACGGGTCAAAAGGTTGTGCTTTAAACCTTAGGTTTGGAGTATTGGAGTTTTCTATCTAGAAACATTTTGATAACGTTTGAACATTTGTAAACGTTTGAAACTCCAATAATCAAGTGTACACTTTCTTTTTCCTGGCAATTTATTATCAAATGTTGGAATTTCAAAGCACATTGTATTAGATTTTTATTTAAAGAAAGCTCAATATCTATTTATAAGACCCGTGAAGATCCGGGGTACAATAGGTCTTCAGTAACCCATGCTTGTCATAAAACGACTATGCTTGCTGTAAGAGGCGACTAATAGGACCGGGTGGTGTGGTTCGCTGACTTGCCTGATCATGCATGTCATCGTATCCCATTTGGGTAGATCGATTCTCATGTTGTCAATCACTTGATTGTCTGGTCCAACCTCGATTTATTACAGACCGCCATCATATAGCTGAAATATTGCTGAGTGCGGCGTTAAACAACAAACAAACAAAACCTATTTATGATGTGATTTTCCTCTTCATCCAGCCTGTGGTAGCAGCTATACCCGGCGTCATTGACGCCATACCCGGACTCCTGGACGTCGTAGTGACCCCCTCCCAGTTCAACGGCTTCTACCGCGCAACGCTTCTTCCATGTGACACCGTCATCGCCTACGACCCTGCCCTCATGGCGGCGACAGTGTCAACTCTACCTACCGCCACCTTCACCAATGCAGGTTTCTGTGCCAACTGTAACGGGAACCGGGCTGACGACAACGAGTTTCTCGTCGTACCTGGTGTAACGCCAGTAGAAGCTGACCTTGGATTGAGTCTGCGAGAACTTACCATCAATCAGGGGTAAGTTTGTTCGTCTGCACTCAGCAATATTCCAGCTATATGACGGCGGTCTGTACATAATCGAGTCTGGATCAGACAATCCAGTGATTGACATCCTGAGCATCGATCCACGCAACAAGGTTTTTGGATTGATTGATTGTTGTTTAACGCCACACTCAGCAATATTCCAGCTATATGACGGCGGTTTGTGTGTTTGTTGGTTTACGATGCACTCAGCAATATGCCAAATATTTGAGTCTGGACCAGACATTCCAGTGATTGACATTCTGAGCATCGATCCACAATATTCCAGCTATATGACGGCGGTCTGTAAATAATCGAGTCTGGACCAGACAATCCAGTGATTGACATAATCGATCCACGCAACTTGGGATACGATGACATGCATCAACCAAGTCAGCGAGCCTGACCACCCGATCCCGTTAGTCGCTTCTTACGACAAGCATTGTCGCCGTTTACGGCAAGCATGGGTTGCTGAAGACCCAGGGGTATGATTGTTTGAGAGAGTTGGTGGTGTTGTGGGGTGGTACAACGTAAGTGAGAGAGTGGCAATACAGTGGGAGGTAGGGTGAAAGGTTGGTGTGTTATGAGGGTTTTGGGCAACGGATGCGTGTGGGCATGAACTGAATTAAAACGAGACCTTGCATGAGCCAAGGATCGAGGATCATATTAAACTGCGGCCAAACAAAACTTTAATTACCATAGTTTTCAATCACTCTCGTTTAAAAACCACAAAAGATAGATGCGTGGAGGAAAATGAATTGAAGTGATGTGAATGACAGTAATACAGCATCCGATATTGGCATGACAGTTGTCAGAATTGAGGTGTTAACTGGGTGAATGATTTCCCCTTAAGTTCCTATAATAAAGTGTGATGTTGATTATTTCACAAATAGTTCCATTAATTAATGGATACATACACGATACAGAAACTTAAAGAAATCAGTGATGTTTCGCTCATTCGACAACCCATTTACCAATCAGATCAGAGAAAATACCTACTTTACAAGTACACAAGTACAATAAACTACGGTTATAACGAACACGCTTAAAACGAACTGACGGACATAACGAACTTACTTTTTTGGTCCCGACTATTTGCTGTAGTTATGCTGTATATATGCTTATAACGAACTACGTTTATAACGAACTAAAATTAGTAGTCCCTTTGAGTTCGTTATAACCGTAGTTTACTGTACTCCTAGCGATAAAATGGACATTTACTCTTTTGTTGTGTTTGGACGGTTAGATTATTTTTCCAAAGATCATTAATGCTCTTAATACAGCTTAACGTACATTTGCTCGGTAATATGATACACGGTGAATAGTTTCTTCTACTTGTCTTGCAGCACCCCTGACGCCGCTGTATGCACTGATCTGAAAGCCATTGCAAACACGCCGGCCTGCATGGTCGACGCCTTCCTCGTCAACGCTATCAAATGTTGCAGCATCTTCTACGACTCTGCCTACGCGGGCTGCCTCCTCAACAACGTCGCCATTCCGCAGACTCGGGCATCGCTGCTTGAAACCTACAAGAACTGCATGTTGCAATACTGTATCAACAACATCCCAGGTGCAGCTGCAATTGCGCCATTCTTCGCTCCGTCTGGATGTACCCTGCCTGTTGGATATGCCTGCCCTACTTAAATCACAACTAAGGATAAAAGGAACACTAAGGGACATGTTTTGCAGCCTCACCGACATTCCCTTTATACAGTACAGATAACAGACAATTGGTAGAGGTCTACATAAATTGGTGAACGGTCTCACCTACCCACAATGTTAAGGAAGAAACTTAAATTGTTATATTTTTTAATGTTTGGAATATATACCTTCAAAGACCATCGACATGAGACTAGAACAAACAGTTCCGTGAGCGTACCAAGTTCACGCCTCAGTTTGTTTTTCCCCCTTAAGATGTCACTTAAAATAGCATAACAACTTATTATATCAACCAGCGACAGTATGATTTGTGAAACATTTATCCCTTTAGCACATAGTAGAAACCCCCTCAGCAGGGTCCCACACGCCAACCGCCAGCCAGCACCACACCCTCAGCCAATACACAGTTATCAGCAGCTGCTGTTTTCTAAGTTTCTAAAATTTAACATTACCTTGCCTGGAAAAATGAAGTTTGATGATAAAAAAACAAAGCAGATGACAAATTGAATAAAAGCGATCGCCCAAACGCATTACGGCAACTTCCATGGTAACCCGATGCACGTGAGTTCCGTGCGAATTGAAATGCACGTGCGTTCCCCCATTTCTTCCCCCATTTCTTCCCCCATTTCTTCCCCAATAAAAATCCAACCAGATCGGATAACATTCATTCGTTATTGAATTGCTACCGCATGCCAAGATTGACAAGAAATCGGCGACACCAAGCCCTTGGACGATCGCAAGCTGGACAAACTGCCAATGCATTTCAAGTCCACGTAAGGACCATATACAGGCTCCAGCAACGGTACCAGACTACCAACACTACAGATGACCGACCACGTAGTGGAAGATCAAGGGTCATCACCCGATCGTCAGATTCAGAAGACCAAATAGCGTCCATTCCAATTTGGAATGAACGTTGGAATGCTTTGGAGAGATCGCTCATTCCAAACTTTCCAAAGCTTGGAAAGATCGATCTTTCCAGAAAATCCAAAATTGGAATGGCAACATTTCCAAACATATTTCCAACACAGGAAATGTTTGGAACGACTTGGAATGGTTTGGAATTGTTTGGAAATATGGTTAGAAGGAACAAGTTAAAATATGTTTTATCAGTAATTTGAACACTAAAAAGACTATGAATTTTTTGTTTGAGTTTAAACTATATATAATAAATAAATAAATTTATCTCAAACATTCACTACTTGTCTGTCTAGCGAGGGGCTTTTACAGTCGCATTCTCCCTAAGGTGAGAGAGAGACCCGCACTTGACTCGAAAAGACACTTACTTACTTATATTGGAGATTTAACGTGCGCTTTCCGACTGCAAGCGTATGTCGCACACGGGCCCGGTCAGGCCATTTAATGTGTTTCCAAAAAGGGGAAAAGTGAGTTGCTTATATAGTAATTTTGAATTTGAGATTTGGAAAGAATGCCAAGAGTGGGTGGGGGACGAACTAAGGGAGCTGTGTGTGTTGGGTGGTTGTTAGATAAGGTAGTTTTGGTTTTATTATTATATTTGGGGTTTAAATGCGACTAATTAGTCCTGTTTTAATTAGGTATAAACCTAAGGCTTTGGATTTTTCTAATTTATTTTGTGGATTTAGGATTGATTCTAGTGTAAGTGCGGTTTTAAGATTTAGGGTGGTCTGTAGTGTTGTTCGGTGTGTTTGGTAGTGTGTGCAGTGAATGAGTACGTGTTCTGGTGTTTCTTGTTGTTTGCAATGTGGGCAGTTTCCTGTTGTGTGTAGATTAGCTATTTTCCGGTGATTATTTAGTATGGTGTGGCCTGTTTGTAGTTTAGTAATTATTCTGTCGATTTTTTTGGATGGGTGTAGTATTTTTGGTTTATTTAGGTTTTTTTGGAGTACTTTCCTGATTTGGCTATTTAAGTTTTGGTATATATTTTGCCATTTTTTGTTGATTTTTTGTTTAGTGAGACTTTTGATTTCTGATTTTGAGCTGGGTAAGTTGGAAGCTTGAATCAATGAATGATATGTGTGGTTTCCTCAAATGTACCTAAACAATAACTATCTTATTTTAATTCCCGTATACACGCGTAGCAGCCTTATGAGAAATGTCATTGGCCTATTTCTCAGCCTCTCCTTAATTATCATAATATCACTGTATGCGAATGTATATAATTTGTAAACGCCTGACTTCTAGGTGTATGATTGTGTCGTTTTTCTTGTGATTAAAATAATGCCATAAATTGTTACCGCTCATCTTTCAATATCTACAGTAAACTACGGTTATAACGAACTCAAAGGGACTATTAATTTTAGTTCGTTATAACCGTAATTCGTTATAAGCATATATACTGCATAACTACAGCATATAGTCGGGACTAAAAAATTCGTTATATCCGTTGGTTCGTTATAAGCGTCTTCGTTATAACCGTAGTTTACTGTATCTAAACAAGGCGGGGTTAATCACCAACAGATTTGAATATGTACAACAGCTATAACCTCTTTTCCTTAATTTGATGAGTTGATCATTTCTAAGACCCTGCTTATTCATTGAACTATTAGCAGAACTAAACAGCTGTCCCATCCCATATATGAAAGGACATTTAAACATGTCAGCACATTCTAAAATACAGTAAACTACGGTTATAACGAACACGCTTATAACGAACTGACAGATATAACGAACTTACTTTTTTGGTCCCGACTGTTTGCTGTAGTTATGCTGTACATATGCTTATAACGAATTAGGGTTATAACGAATTATGATTAGTAGTCCCCTTGAGTTCGTTATAACCGTACTTTACTGTACAATAAATCACAACTTTGCTCAGAACATTGTGTAAAAGATCACAATCATTAGAAAAGGATATTATAAAGAAATTGTGTCAGGGAGGTTAACTCATTCATACAACTTAAAGGCATCAGGTCTGTGGTACGTTCACTGCTTCAATGTTGACATAGGGTAATATTTACATATATCAATATTCGCAGAGGAATTGCTTTGCATGTAAATCTTTAAGAAAGGGTGTCGGGGATTCTTAATATGTGTATGTATGGGCATTTGGAGGAAATTAGATATAGCTTTATATACCATAAAACAAGAAAGTTATATTGATGGTAGATGATTGTAGAACGTGAATACAGAATATTTAATAAATGTGAGTCATCTGGTTAAAACTATGATCATCAATATCGCTGGCATATTACGATATTGGTTTCACTCATAAAAGATGGACCATGAAATCATGACTTGAATTTAGACCTGGCTTTCTGGTGGGATGTAACCTCTACTCTACACCCCATAACCTCCTGTAAGCAAAGTGCCAAAATGCGGATTATGGATCACAAGAACAAACTGATGTATGTCATAGTTCCAAAATACATCATATTTTCTTCTATTTTTTGTAAATGGTTTTGACTTTATGAAATAAGACTAAACAACATATTTTGTGTACATTACTTAATAATTTGTGTACTAAAAGTCTATCTCAGTCGGCGATGATATACGCCGGCCCTCATTCACAAGGTTTGGTTGATAAGTATTATGTATTAAGCGTTAAGACTACATGCGTGTTCCGTCCGAAGTCTATTATTAGTCGGTGTTGATATACGCCTGCCTTCATTCCCAAGATTTAGTCTATAAAGTGTTATGAGCTAATCGTTAAGACTACATGTCCAGCGAGAGAAGTAAACATTACTCTATGATAACACGCTCTCCAAGAAAACTTATGTAATTTTAGGCATTTCTGCATACTCAAGTCCTTCAAAACTGCGAGGTAATCTCTAAATTCAGATAGTCAGCACGTAAGATTAGCAACATTGTGTAAGTGATAATTGAAAATGCGACCATATCATGACCTAAGAGCATCGGTGGTAAAAATAACGGCCTTTATTCTGGGTACCTCACTACAAACCACCCTCAATCTAAATAATGTTCCTACTCTAGATGAAATATTAAACCCTCAAAATAAACCAGAAAACTTCAAGGCCCTAGGCGTATTCCTAATCAAAACAGATCTAATAAAGCGCATCTAAAAATCCATTAATCTACCAATCCAAAATCCAATAAACATACAAACACCCACCCACCTCGGCATTTATTCCAAATTTAAAAATTCCAAAAATTCAATATAAGCAACCCCTAAAAGCCCCCTCTTGGGTTGCACACACCACTTTCACCCTTTTCGGAATACACTAAATGGTCCGGCCAGGCCCGTGTGCGAAATACGCTACAGTCGGAAAGCGCACGTTAAATCTCCTATATCAGTCAGTCAGTCAGTCTGGGTACCTCAACTACTCCAGGCACTACTCAAACTATACAATCTCATCTACCTAAACGGACAGGTTCCTACTCCCTGGAAACAGGCCCTAGTCATACCAATCCCTAAACCTAATAAACCAGCTAAACAAGCTAACTCATATAGACCAATATCCCTAACTTCAAACTTATTCAAAGTAATGGAATCAATGGCTAAAAATAGATTGCAACATTACCTAACCCAAAATAACATCATAAACCCAGATCAAAGCAGTTTCACTCCTGGCCGCTCAACCCTAGATAACCTCGCCCGACTAGAGCAAGATATTAAGACAGGACAACTAAATAAACAATATACCACAGGCATCTTCTTAGACTTCTCTAAAGCTTTCGACATGGTATGGCACGACGGGCTAATACAAAAACTTAAAAAATTAGGACTCAAAGGTCAGATAATAAACTACATCCAGGACTTCCTTAACAATCGTAAAATAACCGTGGGTATAGACCAAACACTATCGGAAGAATGTCCCCTAGAAAATGGCACTCCCCAAGGCAGTATCCTCAGCCCAACCCTCTTTAATATAATGATAAACGACCTATTCGAGGGCCTATCCCCTAAACTAAACACATCAACATTCGCGGATGATGGAGCCCTCTGGATCCGCACTAAAAGCATTAAAATGGCCCAAAATTTACTCCAAAAATCTCTAAATAAAATACAAA